GGAACAGACTGCAGACCCACTATGTGTGATTCAGAGGCCCTGAGAGTTCTCATTTCCGACAGCTGGTGTTGCTCTGGGGGCAGGGACTGCATTTTCAGAACCACTTTTTTTTTTTTTTAAAGATTTTTATTTATTTATTTGAGAGAGAGAGAATGAGAGATAGAGAGCATGAGAGGGAAGAGGGTCAGAGGGAGAAGCAGACTCCCCGCTGAGCAGGGAGCCCGATGTGGGACTCGATCCCGGGACTCCAGGATCATGACCTGAGCCGAAGGCAGTCGCTTAACCAACTGAGCCACCCAGGCGCCCCACTTTTTTTTTTTTTAACATTAACATATTTAACTCTTCCGGCACTTAATCTCCAAATGAGCTCACAACAAAATACTAATTACAGAGGTGGATTACTGAAGAAAATTTTATAGGTCCAATGTGGTAATTCAGTTCTTGAATATTTTTTAGGTCTGTTGCTCATTGACTCTAGCCTAGCAAATTATTTTCTTTGTAACTGAAACTTCTGTGTTTCCGGTGGAAAATATACAATAGATATTAATTTGCTAACAAAGAATTTACCTTTTTTTTTCAGGTCATTTTGTGGGAGAAATGCTTTTAAAGACACAGGAGAAACAAGGCAGAAAACAAATTTCATTTCATTTGTGAATTTATTACTCCATACAAGCAGCTTATGGATGTATGAGTAATCCTAACATTTGACATTATGCCTCATGGAGTTTTCTTTGGTTAAAATAAAATAATATGTGGAATAATGCAAACTTCCATTTTCATTCAGGTCTTTTTTTGTTGTTTTTCATTAAGATGTATATTGTGTAAGACTGTTGAATCACAGACCTGTACCTCTGAAATAATACATTATATGTTAAAAAGAAGATAGCAGGAAGGGAAAAATGAAGGGGGGGAATTGGAGGGGGAGACAAACCATGAGAGAAACAAACTGAGGGTTCTGGGAGGGGGATGGGTTAGCCTGGCGATGGGTAATAAAGAGGGCACGTATTGCATGGAGCACTGGGTGTTATACGCAATGAATCATGGAACACTACTACCTCAAAAAACTAATGATGGAATGTATGGTGATTAACACAACAAAATTAAAAAAAAAAAGATGTATACCTACCCTTGGTGTGGTCTTGCCATGGAAAGTAGTGTAGTAACCCACAAATAGAGAATAACCAACAAACTTCCCTTTCAACTCCCTATAAGTGGGAACCATTAGAGGGATTTTTTTTTACAACCACATCTGGCCTGCAATTTTGGGTCAGTCCCCAAGATAAGGAGCTACTTGTGGAATCTGGCATTGTTGTGAGAAAGATCATGTTTTACTAAAGCCCATATATATTTTAGCCCAAAGAAAGCAAAGAATGGCGGATATGAGCAAGGCAGAGTGTGTTGTAGAGTAATGGAAAATTACTTTCTTCCAAGTTAGACTGATGCCCAATATTAGGGTTAGATTCTAGCTGGGGTCCTTGGGAGCTTTGAATGTTGGCATAGGACTATTTCCCAATTTTAATTTGGTCCTTACTTGATTGTGACTCATTGTAATTACAATTTTCTACCTTACTAGTAATGCTCTTCTGTACTTGGAGGGAGATGTAAGGCTTAGAAATCCCAGATTTGGTCTGAAAGGAGCATTATCTGCAAGTCAGCACAGGATGGAGGAAAACAGTGTGGGTTCTATCAGTGGTTCTCTGTACTTATTTAGCCAACACTTGGACCAGTAAAGGTTTAAAAATTTAAAACAATTTTAGGGGTTTAGTTTTAGGCTATGAAACATTATCTGCATAAAATATTAAAATTTTCCAAATGCTTACCTTAGTTCATAAATCACTTTTTGATAATTCTGGTGTATATATCCTCCTTTTCCCTGGTCTTTGCTAATCATCCTCCTTGCTTTAAAGACACTAGACTTGCATGGTAAATGCTTTATCAGGTCCTTTCACTGTTAACATTCTGGATGCTAAGCCTTTTTCCAGCACTGATAAATTCTTACTTTGAAAGCTGCCAGTGTAACACTGGGTCAATTCTAAAAGCACCTGAGCTTCAAATTGCAACCTCCTGACATTTCACTGAAAATAAGATAGGAATGACTTGGGAAGAGAGTGTATGCAAATGCCCTGTTCTCAGAGGGAAACCAAACTCCCTAACTGTAGCTGTTCAACATTTGAATAGTTTGGATACTGGATGCTGCTCTTTGGTACTATTGCAGGTAAAAAAAAAAAAAGCATGTATAATGTGCTTTGTACTACAGCCATACTCAGAGTGGACCAGATCTGAATGATACAGAAATTAATTGAATAACCCAGTTATGATGTCCTTACTGCCATATGCACTGGAAAGGAGTAACGGCTGAGGGGTGATTTTTTTTAAAGAATTTTACTTATTTGAGAGAGTGAGCGAGCGAGACTTGGGGGGGGGAGGGGTAGAGGGAGAGGGACAGACTCCCTGCTCAGCAGGGAGCCCTACATGGGGCTCAAACCCAGGACCCTGAGATCACAACCTGAGCCGAAGGCAGATGCTTAATGAACTGAGCCGCCCAGGTGCCCCTGATTTTTTTAAGTTAATATAAAATTGAGGGGCACCTGGGTGGCTCAGTTGGTTAAGCATCTGCCTTCGGCTCAGGTCATGATCCCAGGATCCTGGGATCGAGCCCCACATCAGGCTCCCTGCTCGTGGGGAGCCTGCTTCTCCCTCTCTCTCTGCTGCTCCCCCTGCTTGTGCTCTATCCCTCCCTCTCTCTCAAAATCTTAAAAAAAATTAAAAAAATAAAATTGGAATAAAAATGTGTATTATTTGCTTTTCTCAGTGAGTCTGGCTGAACAGCGATGCATCCCATTTTTGACGATCTGCTTAATGATAAGATTGCCCATGGCCTAGATAAAAAGCTCAGTTACATATTCTGTATTGTATATACTTTCTAAGAAGACTGCTTTGGTTTTGACCTATAGTACTAAATAAATCTGTAAACCTTAAGGTGCTGCTTTGAGACTTGCTTTTCCAGAGAAACCATGGCTCATACTTTGTACGCATTTTATTTAAATGTCAAAGTAGCAGCATTATCAGTATCTGATGGAATTAAGTTGCCTCATCAGAGAACCAGCAAGAAACCACTCAAGTGTGAGTCTCTACACCATTCTTCTCCATCCTTAAGAAACCAGAACTTTCAGGGCGCCTGGGTGGCTCAGTTGGTTAAGCGACTGCCTTCGGCTCAGGTCATGATCCTGGAGTCCTGGGATCGAGTCCCACATCGGGCTCCCTGCTCAGCAGGGAGTCTGCTTCTCCCTCTGACCCTCTTCCCTCTCGTGCTTTCTATCTCTCATTCTCTCTCTCTCTCTGAAATAAATAAAATCTTTAAAAAAAAAAAAAAAAAGAAACCAGAACTTTCAGAGTGGACAGGTGTGCTTTTCATCTGGCTACAGAGAAGCTATAATAGTTCAGAACAAAAGGTATTAAATTGTGTGGCTTTTCTATTCCTAGTAGACACAACTGTGTTTACATAATTTACTACCACATCCAGCATAACTGGTAGAAGTTGAGATGGACAACTTAAAAGGTTGTGGTACCCCAAATCATCTCACACTTTTGTCTTCCTTCCCTATCTCTGCTTCTGTCAAAATAACTTGCTCAATTTCTCCATAATTAATTAACAGTTTCTTCATCTCTTACAAACAGCTTTCGTATTTCTGAACCTAACCTTCTAAAGAAATTATTCATCAGGGCGCCTGGGTGGCTCAGTTGGTTGGGTGACTGCCTTTGGCTCAGGTCATGATCCTGGAGTCCCGGGATCGAGTCCCGCATCGGGCTCCCTGCTCAGCAGGGAGTCTGCTTCTCCCTCTGACCCTCTTCCCTCTCGTGCTATCTCATTCTCTCTCTCAAATAAAATCTTCAAAAAAAAAAATTCATCAGATTTTCTACTTGATTTCTAGCCTAGCCTTGCCTCACCTCTTGGATAAACAAACAGCACATCACCTTTTAATGTGTGCTGTTAAAGCTGATACTATCTCAAGCATGATTTTCAGAACAGAAATTTTCTTTAAAAACCCATTTCTCTTATATGTATTGTATTATTTGAAGGTACCATCTCCCTGTCCCTGACCTACCACTACTGCTAACTCAAATCTTTTATGACTTTTTTCCTAGAAAGCTATGAAGTCAGATAAAGTGCTAGTCATACATGACTCAGTAGGGTGAAAAAATTCCAATCCCAGCCATCATTTAGCTAAAAAATTACACATTAGTATCCCCCTTGTATTGGAAGTCCTGAGACTTGAGATAGATACAAAGAAAACAGACCAACATTTGGTGTTTTATTGAGAACAATGTAGGAAAAGGCAGTATGTAAAGTAAAAATGGCTCTCTGAAATGTCTATACAATGTATGTGGTCTACTATATGACAGTCTGAAAATTTTTCATTAAAATTGTAAATTATAAAACCAATCAGGAACTAAATAATTTTATACATCTCCATAGTCCAGACTGAGTTTGACTTCTTATTTGGCCACATAGTTCGTGAGAGACTATAAAAGACCTGTGGGGAATCTCTAGAAGCAGTAACTCTTCACACGAGGCACAATGTGGCAAATAAACCTCGGCTGGCCTTCCCAGTGTTTGTAATAAGGACACAGGATCTTGCTTTTGAAAATTACTTGATGGATTCCAAGAACAAGGATCAAAGTCCACAAGTAATACCTTCTTTTAGGCCCCATAGTGTCCTGGCTTACATTTTTTTTGCTGTATCTTAGAATCTGATTTATTACCTTTTCGACGAATAAAGGATGACTGCAAATACACACAGTTGTCACCTCCAATTCAGGGTCTGTGGCAACTGCATATTACAAACAGCTCAACCTCTTCCCTCGAATCTGCCTACCAAGTTAGAAAGTCATCCTTCAAGGGCAGCAAATTCACACCTTATTTAGTGCTTCAGTAACCTGAATATCACATATACACTTAATTGTTTTTAACGCAGAAATTCACCAGGGCTAGTAGAAAATTTCAAGTTAGAAAAAAGACTTTTAATTTTCTTAAATAATTCTCCTATGTACCATTCCACATTGTGGAAAAACTGAATTATGCAGTCTGGAGACAACATCGAGATTTCAGAACACTGGCACAAATACTTACATCTATATTTTGTAATATATTAGAACCACCATGTCCTGTCTTAGAGCCTGTAACAGAGCAGGCCTGAAACTGCAAGAGGTTTACAGATGAAACTTCAAATCCGGAGGTGTTAGCTGTGCCAGAGTCCCAAAACGGACCTGGAAAGAACTCCATCCCAACTCTCCATTCCATCACTGCAGCTGTACTCTGTATGCACCTATTAGTAGCTTAACCTATTGAAAGAAAATAGGCATAAGAATCAGTACAGATACCTCCATCGAGTTCTCTTTTCTTAGAAGAGGGAAACACTCAACCAAGATTTGTCTGTCTTATTTGGCAATGTTATCAAAATGGTTATCAATTCAGGGTATTAGGTTATCACTTTTAATAAAAAAAATCCAAGTGCTTATGATTTGATTTTTAGATTATTATAGGAAATAACTGTACTATCATTACACAGACTTTCGGTCCAGCTTCAGTGTTCAGTGAAGAGCCTGGAAACATACATAAAATGCTGTACATTAAATAACAAAGGCCAGAATACAGCTCCGACTGCTCAATACTGGAGAGATGCATCCTTACCATCAGTCCCTTTCTTGACACACAATTTCTAACACATCTGTAGATTCTGGTGCACTGCTATCCCAGAGAGCACTTGTCTCCAGGACAGGCACGCCAGGAACACAGCATTCTTGGAATTTTTTTCTGCTGGTGATAAAGTAATCTGGCATAGCAATAGAAGTAGCTGCACTAAATGTGAGGAAAGGATTTTCACCTTGGCAGAAGGCGCTTCTGTCAACCTTAGGAAGAGTTTATTGAGGCCTGCAGCAGGGCTGAACGAGTAAACAAAATGACTATCCTAGGGAGAGGAGAGAGACCAACCAGTCAGTTTCCTCAGACAAACTTCTACATCTGAGAGCATCACTGTATCTTAACAAAAACATTTCAGATTCCAAAGACATTAAAGAGAACACAAATTTTATACTTTATATAGATCAATTTGCTGTGATTACTTTTCTCTTGATTTTTTAAAAAGATACAACTGACAAAAAAGCTTGTTAAGATTTATCTGCAAAAACAGCATCCAGATAAATCTTTGGGATTAGCATGTATCCAGCCATATACAGCATGAGTGTTAAAAATCCTCATAAACAGTTGATTTTGCTTAATTCAGCCTAAGAATTCTAAGTATAGAAAAGGAAACATACACAAAGATTCTTCAAGACCATTTTTTGTTAAAAGTTTATATAGCCAGTAATATTATAAACCAAATTTACAGTAGAATGGTTACCTAAAGCTATACACATTAACACTAAGCATATATAGACCCATGTTCTAGGTACTTGAAGCACAGGATGGGTATATTTTTAAAATTTCCTAAATTTCCTTTAGGTGAATGTAATTATGATGGTGGAAAAAGGCAGAATATTTAAAAAAATCAGTATGTTTATTATACCTTAAGAATTTATATTCAGAACGTTCTAAGACATTATGGTAAACGTTAACTTAAGACATATACCAAACATGAGAAATCCAGACTCTTACAAAATTTAGGATAATTTTACTTTATAATTAGGGGTTATTGCCTTATTTCCAACTGGCTTAGTTACAATTAACATTTTATTAAAACACACAATTAAAAGTCATCTGTGCTTCTGGATTAGAAGAATGTACTTTTTAAATGAACTACAGAAAATCTTACCAGAAAAACTGGAAGTTGAAATTTATCATTTAAAACTACAGCTTGTACACTACATGGTCCACAAAGCCGAGCAATAACTTCTTTACCCAAAAAGTTGGCATGGAAAATAAAGAGCAGGATGCCAGAGCCTGAATGAGGGAGGTGGAAACATAGATTTTATTTTATTTTTTAAAGATTTTATTTAATTGACAGAGAGCGTGAGGGGGAACACAAGCAGGGGGAGTGGGAGAGGGAGAAGCAGGCTTCTGGCTGGGCAGGGAGCCTGATGTGGGGCTTGATCCCAGGACCCCAGGATCATGACCTGAGCCGAAGGCAGTCGCTTAACCAACTGAGCCACCCAGGCGCCCCAACACAGATTTTAATACCAGTCCTACCATGGCCACCTTTCAACTCTGAGGAAAGCGCACCTGTACCCGTTGGGAGCGGTCCCCTCAGTAAGCCTGGTGGTATACACCCAGCCTGCTGCCCACTCACACTGGACAATCTGAGTCCAATTTCAAAACTTGGTGTTACCTAGCATTTTTCAAACCACAGACCCCTTTTATTTTTTGTCCATGGAACAAATATTTTAAAATATGCTTTTCTACATTAATTTTGGTCTAAAAAAGGAGTATTTAAAAGTTGCTGCTAAATGTGTAGACGTCCATGGAAGCAAACTTCTATGACGGTTCTCTCTGGGTGTGGGTTTGAGTGTCCATTTTCTTCTACATACTATTTTGCCTTTTCCAAATTTTCTGATTAATACCAAAACCTATTTTGGGGGGAAAAAAACCATGAGATTTGAAGCTTCCACTGAATATCCAAAATACTGTGCATGACTCACTTTTCTGAACAAAGCCATACTTTTATTATAACAGAAAAGAGATACATGAACTCTATGACCTTTCTGGTAAGCCATTTTTAAGATGAAAAAACACTGATCCAGCCCAATTATAAACGAGAGGAGACTTCATAAAAGAGACCCCAAGGAACCATTGGCTTTATTTGTTCTGGTCCCAGGGAGAGGAGGACATGCTGAGCCCCTGGCTCTCTTTCTTCGCCTTTCAAGCTATTTAAGGTTTGTCATGCTGATTTTGCTCTCCAGCTTTAAAATGCAATACCCACCCCCACCACCGCCCCCAAAGTGCTAAGGTTCAAAAGAAGAAAAGGCCTACAGACAATATAGGGACCGTCCGTTCCTTGTCTTTTCCCCCTCAGCTCCACTATGAACGAGCATCTGATCTGGGACTATTTGTTACTGTCTATATAGAGGAGAGTGGTGGTAACTCTTCAAAATGGCCTGAATGGGGACTAGTGGTCTACGGGAAAATCCTTCATTCAGGTGCTGTTTATTCTAACCAAAATGAGTTAGATCTAAGGAAGGTGTGTTCATTAGCTCTACTCCAACAAATACTTGAATTTCATAGATAAAAAATGACACGAGGAACCCTAATCAGTTTGCTAGCTGTTGTTTCACGGTATCAGTATAAATGCTTTCTCCAGGCAAACTAGGTGTTAAACAAAATCACAATCAAGGAACCAAGGTCAGTGCTTCTCAAACTTGAGTGTGTTCATAAATCACCCAAGATCTCACCAAGATGTCAACTGAGAGTCACGCCTGGGTGAGGCTTGAGAATCTGCATCTCTAATAAGCTCTCTGCTGACCACAGACATTGTGCATGTACAGAAAAAAAAAATTCAGTAACCCTAAGGCAGTCCAGGTGCACTGAAGCCCCTAAGTTGTGGATGCTGGGAAACTGGCCCAGATCAGCTCAGCCACCCCTACACCCTGTTCCCCAACCTCGTGCTCACTACCCAGCAATGTAAACGATCCACCTGGACAGTTGAAAGCACAAATGATTCTTCAATGCCAAGTTCACTAAACATAGGTGTTATGAATAGCTGTCTTTAAATTTTCATGCTATGGCTATATTTTAATTAAATTTTCATCAATGAATACATACCTTTTTTTAAAGATTTATTTATTTGAGAAAGAGAGCATGCATGAGCAAGGGTGGGGGGCCAGAGGGAGAGGGAGAAGCAGACTCCCCATTGAGCAGGGACCCCCAACACGGGGCTCGATCCCAGGACTGTGAGATCATGACCTGAGCTGAAGGCAGACGCTTAACGACTGAGCCACCCAGGTGCCCAATACATATTTTTTTAAATGGATGTTTTTGTTTAACAAAAAAGCCAGAACCCGGCTTCCTACTTTCATGAAGGCAGTGTTCTTTCCACTTAAACATGCTGCGTCTGTTGTCCTAGAGAAGGACCACGCCATGTCATGGTCTTGCCTGCAGAGCAGCTGTTAAGCAGAGGCTAGGAAGCAGAACTGAAGTTTCCATCTCCTGCTACTCAACTTTCCTATGGGCCAAGACACTGACATTTTCTTTTAATAAAATTCAGGAAAAACACTGATTCTGGGCTTACAATTTGAATTTAAATTTTAATAAAACTCAATTTTAACAAAAGGTAGTACAATGATTAAGATCCAACTTCCATACTTTTTTTTTTTTCCCCTTCTGGTACAAAAAAGGTGGTTTCATTAAAGCACAGGGGACAGGATCCATGGGCAGAAAGAACAGGCCCAACTTCCATGCTTTTCATTTTTAAAAAATTTTTAAGATTTCTTTCTTTATTTGAGGGGGGTGGAGGGACAGAGAGAGAGAGAGAATCTCAAACACACTCCCTGCTGTGCACAGAGCCTAACTTGGGGCTCGATCTCATAACTCTGATACCATGACCTGACCCAAAATCAGTAGTCAGATGCCACCCAGGCACCTCTATGCTTTTTAAACAAGTGCTAACACAGTGCTCAGTGGATCCCTCAAAGTCACCTGGGATGGTAGGTCTCAGCTGGGTCTCTTTTTTTTCTGCCAGAGTAGCTCTGCTGTTAACTATTTTACATAATTATTATACATAATGGGATTCTGTTAAGGTTATGTTCACAGAGTTGTTTAAAAATCAACTGATAGCCCAAGGCCATACCACCCTGAACGCGCCCAATCTCATCTGATTAAAAATCAGCTGATATTTACGGTGTCACTTTTCAAACAGAAAAACAAAGACTTACCTTCTGGGATGTTCTGTGGGGGTTTGTAATTGAAATCCGTTGAAAAATCTGGCCCCTCACAGAGACGATGACATGCTATTGGGAAAATTGGTTCTAACAGAGCAAGACGTGCTTCAAAGTAATCCCTTATTGTTTCTTCTGCTACTCTTGAAAGTCTAGTCAAAAAGTATAGTAAGAGTTGTTAACATCAATGTAGAAAATAACCATGAATCATATTATCAAACTGCTGAATACCAGTGAGGTCTTCCCAAATCAACCTTTAAATATAACTTCCTACTCATCCTACTTCCCCGTTCTATTTTTCTTTAGCACTTAACATCTGACACACTATGTGTCTTACTGTCTATGTTGTCACAGGGAATTTAGGCTCTAAGAGGGCAAGTCTCCTCCCCCTCCCCCGCTGCTGTCTCCATCTTCCCGGCCTTCTGAATAGTTCCTGGAGTACGGACAGCACTCAATACTTATTTGTCTAATGAAAATGAAAATTCTAGGGGCGCCTGGGTGGCTCAGTCGCTAAGCGTCTGCCTTCAGCTCAGGTCATGATCCCAGGGTTCTGGGATCGAGCCCCGCATCAGGCTCCCTGCTTGGTGGGAAGCCTGCTTCTCCCTCTCCCATTCTCTCTGCTTGTGTTCCCTCTCTCGTTTTGTCTCTCTCTGTCAAATATATCAATAAAATCTTAAAAAAAAAAAATGAAAATTCTATTAATAAATTTGAGAATTGCCACACACACACACACGTCTTTATAGTACTTAGTTTAGAAGGCAGTTAAAAAATGATCAGTGCTAATTCTGAAAATATTTTTAAAAGATCTTGTTGGGAAGGTAACCAACTCATTTGGTTTGCCCAGGATATTCCGGTTTTAGGAGTGGAAATCCACTGTGTTGGGTCACGGACACACAGAGAAAATACTGGTTGGGTAAGGCTCCCAGCAAAGGCTGCCAACGTGGGCAGACTCACCACGTACATGCCCTTTTGGTTTGTTTTTTGTCTCTTGTCTGAAATTTACCTTACTTTCTGCTTAGAATATAGATCCTGGAATTGGAGTAACCATCATGCAGGCATGAAGATCCAAGTCACACCCTAAGTGTGGTGGAGGAGGAAAAGGGGAAGAGTGGCTTTTCTTGCCCATGGCTGTCTACCCCTGGACTCCCTATTATTTTGAACAATAAACACCTTGTGTTAACTACTCTTTGTGAAGTTTCTATTATGTGTTGCCAAAATACTTTTATTAGTTTCAGAGGCAGAATTTAGTGATTCATCAGTTGCATCTAACACCCAGTGCTCATCACATCAAGTGCCCTCCTTAATGCCCATCACCTGATTATCCCTACCCCCCACCTTCCCTCCAGCAACCCTCAGTTTGTTTCTTAGAGTTCAGCATCTCTTATGGCTTGCCTCCTTCTTAATTTTCATCTTATTTTTCCTTCCCTTACCCTATGTTCATGTTTTGTTTCTTAAATTCCACATGAGTGAAATCATGTATTTCTCTTCTCTGACTTATTTCACTTAGCATATTACCCTCTAGTTCCATCCACATCGTTGCAAATGGCAAGATTTCATTCTTTTTGATGGCTGAGTAAGACAAAATAATTCTTAAGGAAAAAGCTACTATATTACTTGTATGAAATTTCAATTAAAATAAAATGATTTAGAATTCGTTTGAAAAATAATGAACTCGAACAGATATACTGTGGTACATCCAGACAATGGAATACTGTTCAACATTAAAAAGAAATAAGCTATCAAGCCATGAAGACATGGAGGACCACTATGTTTATAGCAGCATTATTTACAATAGCCAAATTATGGAAGCAGCCAAGTGTCCATCGATAGATGATGAATGGATAAAGAAGAGGTGGTATGTATATTATTCAGCCATAAAAAATGAAATCTTGTCATTTGCAACCATGTGGATGGATCAAGAGAGTATAATGCTAAGTGAAATAAGACAGAGAAAGACAAATACCATATGATTTCACTTGTATGTGGAATTTAAGAGACAAAACAAATGAACAAAGGAAAAATAAGGAGACAAACCAAAAAACAGACAACTATGGAGAACAAACTGATGGTTCCCACAGGGGAGGTGGGTGGAGGGATGGGGGAAATCAGTGAAGGGGATTAAGAGTGATGAGCACTGAGTAATGTGGAGTTGTTGAATCACTATATTGTACACCTGAAATACAATACTGTTAACTAACTGGAATTAAAGCAAACAAAAGTTAAAAAAAAAAAAAAAGACATGGATGAATCTTCAATGCATATTACTAAGTGAAAGAAGCCAATCTGAACAAGGCAATACTGTAATTCCAACTGCATGACATTCTGGAAAAAGCAAAACCATAGAGACAGCAGAAAGATCAGTGGTTGCCATGGGTCAAGGGGCAGGGGCAGGAAGGGATGAACAGGCAGAGCACAGAGGATTTTTAGGGCAGTGCTATTCTGTATGACACTAATGGTGGATACATATCACATGTTTGTCAAAACCCCAAAATGCACAACACCAAGGTGAACCCTAAGGTACAAACTATGGACTTTGAAGGGTAACTCTCAATGTAGGTTCACTGGTTTTAGCAAATGTGCACCACTCTGGTGACAGATGTTAGGAGGGGAGGTTGTGCATGTATGGAAGCAGAGGATATATAGGAACTCTCTGTACTTTTGGCTCAACCTCACTGTGAACCTAAAACTGATTGAAAAAATTATGTCTATTAAAAAAAAGGAACTACAGATTAAACAGTTTTAAGAAAGCATGAGCCAAATTACAAGCATAACTAAGATTTCAAGTAGATAGTCCTAGATAGGATAGTATTAAATTTCAAAGTTTGAGACCTCAATAACTGTCAGAAAAATAATTCATATGCCACTTACTAAATTTATGATCTTTTGAGAACAGAAACCCATCAGGACTTCCACTTAACAATCTTCATTTGAGCAATTATACACAGGCCATTCTAATTATGATGTGTCCAAACAGACTCTGTGACTTAACCATGGCATATTTGCTCACACTTACGTCTCTAAATGATTCTTCAGCAAGTCGTACACCAACACGTTGTTACACTGCTTTGCAAAATGCAGTGCGCTATTTTGGTGCTTTGACAAAATATTGCAGTCAGCTCCACATTCAATTACAAGTCGTACAATATCAGAATTTCCTCTTTTACAGGCCTATGATGGGGAAAAAAGGAGTAGTAATTACTTAGCTGTAAAATAAGTTAACTACCAATTTGTGTTTGCCCCCTTCTCCAAACGTGAGCCCAGGAGTTTTTTGTGAAGAGAAAGACAAGAATGTTGGAGAGGGGGAAGAAAACCTGGCATCGGGTCTCACCAAGGGTTACAAACTGTTATGTAAACAAACAGTGGTATGCTCCCCTTTTACTCAGTGAACAGTACTGAAATCTGTGCTACGTTCAATTTCATCCCTGACTCCTGGGGAAATGGGCAACTCTGAAAAAGATACTTCCGTCCCAAGACAGAACAAACACCAGGCGTTTCTAAGCTCTAGTGCTCTCCATTTTCCCAGACCAAGTCTCTTAGCATCACAAAATAATTTCAAAATTTCCCTAAAAGCCGCTTTAAAGGAGACTAAGCATAGATACAAGTTTGAATTCGGCAAATTTAAGATGGATCTGGACACAGTTCAAAGACCAATTCTAGAGTAAAAAGACCTACATCCATGTTCTCTCCTGTCTCTGTTACTTACTGGCTATGGGACTTGAAGTAAGTCCCTAATTCTGAGTCTCACTGTTTCCATTTGTCAAGAGGATCACAGTACTTCTGCCTCACAACATTGAGGCTGCAATTAAAAGATATACTGTAAAGGACCAGGGCAAGCCAGTAAGCTTTCCTAAAAGAACAAGGCCGTCTGGTGTGCTACCACTCCGGACAGTATTTCTACAGAGTAGGTTTCTAAGTTGTGCAAGTGCTAGGTCAAAGGGCATGCATCTCATGGCAGATCTGACAAATGCCCTTCAAAAAGATACAACCCCGTGGTTCTCACTGGGGTGATTTTGCCCCCCAAGGGAATTCAGGCAATGTATGGAGACATTTCTGGTTGTTACAGGGTGGGTATTAATGGCATCTGGTGCAAAGGTTAGGGATGCTGTTAACACATCCTACAAATGATCTGGCCCACAATGTCAGGAGCGGGAAGGTTGAGAAGCCCTGCTGGAACCAATTATATGCCCCACATCAGTGGGTGGGAATGGTTTCTCCATTCCCTCACACTCTGGTAACAACCAATTTTATATATTATTTCTGAGATAAAAGGTTTTTTTAAATTTTGTTTCAAAAATTTCTGAAAATCTCTCCCCATGTTTCTTTCTTCTAATTCTAAAAACCAATTTAATATACTAAATCCTTAAAGCTTAAGGAACCAGTACCAAAAAAACCCAAACACAAAAACCAGACCAAAACAAAAAACCAAAAACGAAATTTAAATACAGTTACAGGCAGTCTTATTCAGACAGTAGTTAAATATGCTTTAAGCTCTTCTCTACGAAGAAGCAAAAAACAGTCCCTTGACCTCTTCCCCTCTGGACACTGCATTCTTCCTTCGCAGATCAACTCCTAAGTGCCTGCTACATCCAGCATCCACCTCCTCAGCCCCTGCAGTCCCACACCCCTCAAACCTGACAAATGAGGGCACCAACACCCTCTCCAGTGCTCCTTCCCAGTGGCACTTCTCAGCCTCCTCCTTTGGCATCTCTGCCTCAGCAGACACCGCAGGCCAGCTCCTCCTTGAACCGCTCAGGATACTTCTCTCTCCTGATCTTCCTCCCCCTTCTCTGGTCTTTCCTATGTGGCTGCCTTCCATCACTGGCTTTTCTTTCCCTTCCAACTCTCAGTGGTGACCGGACTCTCAGCCTAGGGCTGCAATTGTGCTGTCTACACTGATGAACCCGAATCTGAATCTATAGCCGACCCCTCTCTCCTGAGCTAAAGATGCACATGTGAAACATCATCTGAGCATTTCCAGCTCAAATGCAACCCCACTCTCATTGTATAATGCCTGAGTTCCCTAAATTAGGAAATAGGATTACCAACCATCACCTTCAGTTACCAAGTCCTGTGAATTCTACCTTCTTAAACCACTGGTCAGTCTACTCACTTCTATCTCCACTGTCACTACCTAGGTACACACTATTATTTCACTTAATTTTAAAAATATCCCTATAAGTCTGCAAACTGCTTGTCTTTTTAACCAATTCGTTCCCCGTACTGAAGTAAGGGACATTAAAAACAACCACCTTTATTCTGATTATGTCTTTCTCCAGCTTAAACCTTTTAGTGGCTCCCAACTGCTCTCAGGATCAAGTTGTCCAAATCCCTCATTGCAGATATAGATGGTGTCCGTGCTCACTGCCCTATGTGCACACCTTTATGCGCCAGACTACTTATTTGCTGTTTAGAATGTACCTGGTGATCTCTCAATAGGACAAAGTTTTAATTCATATTTGAGGTGCCACCTCTGCTCTAAGCATATGGCAGTAGAAGCATACAAGGAAAATTAAAATTCAAAAGTAGGGCTCCTGAACAAAGTAAGCATTTCCATAAACCAAAAATGAAATGGCAACACAAGCAGTGAGCAAGGTCCACATCCTGAGTGTGGAGGAAGGTTGAGGGGAAAGGTGATCCCAGCCTTGAGAGTAACAGAGATTCAAGACCACCCTCAGAACCAAGCCCAATGCTAACTAGGGCCTATACCTGTTAGGCATGTATACCTAGACCTCTCTTACTGACTCAGGAAAGACTGCTGAAAATAGGTACTTCAGACAAACACCAACTTGGGTCAATTTCCTTGCACAAAACTGTATCGAGGAAGGGGGCAGTAAGACAGAGCCTCCACGTGGGGAACTAACGCATGGCTCGATGTCCTAATGGCATCTTAGGCCAGGAACCTAAAACTGTCATAGGAACATGCTAGACCGGGCTGGGCCCCAGCAGAGGCAAATACAAAACTGCTAAACAGGGAGAGGTAATTAAAGGGTGAGGCATGGGGGAGGCTTTAACAACCTTCCACTCAAAATGGTCAGCAAACCACAATTCCAAACATTCGTGAAGAAATCGGAGGCTAAGGAGATGAATCCACCAATGTAAAATAATAATGAAAGTACATCATGTTCTTTTCCACTCCCAGTTCTCTGTGCATATCCTATTTCAGTTCCCACTTACACAGTTTATCCCTGCCAGCTCATATATCATTTGTAGGATGGAGCTCAGCCACCTATCACATCCAGCCTGTCTCACCTTTTTAAGTAATCTCTACACCCAACGTGGGGCTTGAACTTATGACCCCAAGATCAAGAGTCATATGCTCTACCGACTGAGCCAGCCAGGTGCCCTACCCTGTCCCACCTTGAATCCGCACTGCTGAGCCTGGTATCAACTTTTATGTAATCCCATGGTTCACACCAGCTTTTAATTTTGCTAGCCTGTTTCTCCTACACATCTGTGTCCTGTTCCCCATCATATTCCCAGCCCCTGGCAGAGTGTCTGGCAATCAGAGGTACCAACAGGAACATCTGTCAGAACCGAAGTGAAGTATTTACCTTCATTAGAGCAGTCTCACCATTGCTCTGCTGGACATTAACAAAAGCTCCTGCTTCCAAAAGAATAGCCACTGTAGTTAAAAAGTTCTATTAAAAAAAAAAAGGCATATTTAATTCTCAAAATTCTTTAAAAGTAAGATAGTTTTTGATGACTTGAAATTTTTAGCCATCAGGAAAAATACTCAGACTCTATCCAAAGCAGGTGAGTGAACATGGCTCTTCACTGTGCCCCACCGTTCAGGCCCCATGCACAGCCACACACAATTTGACAGCAACTTCAACCTGAAGTTTAAATACTGGTTTTAACATAAGAAACTCCGTATATCAATCCTTTAAAAAGATAATATGTGGGAACATTTTAATTAAGTTCTTAATCAAAAGGAACACTTAATTTCAATTAGAAAAGATTTAAGATTGAAACCAGCATTAGTACATTAATCAGAGGCCCTTTTTCTTTTTTTCTTTTTTTAAGTAATCTCTATGCCCAGCATGGAACTTGAATTCACAACCCTGAGATCAAGAGTTGCACGTTCTACAGACTAAGGCAACCAGGCACCCCCAGGGTCCTTTTTCACTATGATTCACTTCCCACTAGATAAATCACACTTTGAAAATTCAATTATAAAGTACTACTGTTGATTAAAAAATCTATTCATGACAAGTCCCAGATGAGCTGAAATATGAGATTCTAAAGTTATGTAACTATATGAGAGTTATATTTCACTACAGAAACAGACTCTGATCTGGTCCACAGGCAGGAATTCCCACAGACTAAGAAACTGATGCCTTTTGAGTTCCCAACCTTCTCAGCTGCATGAATGAGGGCGGTGGTCCCATTCTTCTGTCTGCCATTCACCTTAGCCCCTTTCCTGATGAGGAGCCTCAGCAGGTCGTCTTGTCCTCCTGCTGCGGCGAGCATCACCAGGGTCATGCCGCTTGAATCCTTCATTGGTTTTGTTGAGGAAAAAAACATGTCAATGTCTATCAGAAAAATTTTAGAACTAAGTCTTTTCATCTATGATATTTCAATGTGAAATCATTTAAATGCACTGATTTAAGCAGCTACCTAAGGTTTTCATGAAAATATCCTTATAATAAATAATCAGAAATATTACAATTTCTTTCATATATCATAAAATTTTACAACTTCCATGTTGTAAGGCCTATCATATCAACACTCTGCCTGACATACAATGAACTGCATTCATATCTTGATGCTATAAAATGGCAAAGGTATTTATTTATCGCACATTTCAGGCGCAGAAGTCTCCTTGTGTTCTAGGGAAAACACGTGAAACTCACACATTCGTGATACTCATTTAGTTGGCCCGAAAGACCTAAGGCTAGAAATGACCACTGGACGTGACCTAAGTCCACTCTATTGATGACAGGCTAAGTGAATGCTGTCACTACAAATGGTGGCCTATATGAATATAATTGTTGGGAAGTGATAGTTTGGCTACTCGAAGGATAAAGAAGAAAATTCAGAAGCAGGAAACAGGACACTAATATGATTGGTTTCTAAGAGGCTATGACAAAATAGAGAAATTAAAAAGATAAAATTACATAAAATTGACAAAAATAAAAAGGTAATTAATAGCTAAAATACTTCCAATCATTAACTGAAACAAACACATGGGAATACCAAACCATTAAATACCATCTGCTAAAACCAAGTTCTAATACTGTAGTTAATTTGGCTGTAATCTGAAAGCTTAGCAGAATTCACCTGTATGAGCAATCTGAAGGAACACAAAAGAAAAATCAACTTAAGTAATATAGTGCACTTCCTCTCATTTGTAAAGTATCTTATTACTACAAAACATGTTAAAGGGAAAAAAACCTTTTCCTAATTTATTAATAAAGACCAAGCTACATTAGTATTAAAGTAGAAAAAAAAACCCAACTGATAAAACCCAACATCCATCCTTGATAAAAACTTAAGCAGGTAAACAAAGAAAGGAAGTCTAAAAAGAGAAAGGCTACTGTCCACGAGAAACCAACAACAGTACAATGGAAAGAGAATCTTCACACACAGCCTAAGGGGAAATCCCCACTCAGATCAGAGACAGAACAGGATCATTTCTATCATCACTATTCTTCAAAATGTCACCAAGTTCACAAGACCAGAAAAAGAAATTTTACTGGAGAAAAAGGGAACAGAATAGTTACTTTTTAGCAGATGATCATATTCTCTGCCCAGAGAATCCCAGGCAAGTGACTTAAAAATTATTACGGTAAGAGAATTTCACAAAGTGACTGGAGACCACATGCACGCACACACACACACACAAATCAATAGCTTCACCAAACATATATAATAACCAGTTAGAAGACAAAATGTGGGAGGAAAAAGATCCTAATGATCATACTAAGATAATTAAAAAATTATCAAATATGTAGGAACACATCTAAAATAAATGTGTAAGTACCATACAAAGGAAAAAAACTTATAAAACTTTGCTTTAGGAATAAATGAAGAGCTGAATGAATGTAGAGTTATCATGTTCTTATTTGGAGGGCTCAAAATGTAAAAACGTCAATACTTAGCCAAATTAATCTATAGAGTTCATGCAACTTTACCCAAAATCCCAATAATTTTATTGAACTGTAACCCCTAAGGATTAAGCCTAAAAAAAATCCACCACTAGGGGCGCCTGGGTGGCTCAGTTGTTAAGCGTCTGCCTTTGGCTCGGGTCCGGGGTCCTGGGATCGAGCCCCACAAGGGGCTCCCTGCTCAGCGGGAAGCCTGCTTCTCCCTCTCCCACCCCCCTGCTTGTGTTCCCTCTCTCTCTGTGTCTCTCTCTGTCAAATAAATAAAATCTTAAAAAAAATTCCACCACTAAAGCAAAAATACTGAAGAAGAAAATATAAAAATCTTTTGTAAGCAAGACACCCAAAAGCCATAAAGGAAAGGATCGACAGATGTGACTATCTAAAAATAAAAATCCTCTAAGCAATAAAAGACTTAAAAAACAAAAACTAAAAACTAGGAAGAAAGGGTTAATATGCTTTCATTAAAACAACAAACAAAAAACAAAAAACCCCCCTATAAATCAGAATGAAAAACCTGCAGCAACAGAACCATGGGCAGTTGCTGTGAACAGCTGACTACGAATGAAACATCAATAGTGACAAGGACACAAGGAGTCATTTTATGCCCCTCAGAGCAGCAGAGGTTCAACCACAGACAAAACCAGACAGGCCACAGCTAAACCAAATGGTCACTCTTGGGGCTGGAATTACAAGGTCTATAATTTTCTACATTATACATTTCTACTGTGTTTTCAGTGAACATTACTTTTAATTTTTAATTTTTAAAAAATGAAAAATAAAATAGAATTATGTTAAAAGAGCTACTTCCCATCTTTATTTCATGAGATTTTACTAAGACATATTACCTCTTGGTCCAGGTTATATTCTTCATTTGAATTAAGTGCCACCTTCACAGCAATATAATCCCCATTTTTCACAGCATCCCTCAATAAATCTACAATGAAAGAAATTAAGATAAATTAAGCTTCACATATCTAGATTCATGAAAAGGACCTCCAAAATTCCTAAACTACTCACTACTTGGAATTGCATCTGCTGTGGTAAAGTTCTCATCTTCCCCATCAAGATGCTTTTGAAAATCTTCTAGTTTCATCCATTCCAATTGCAAGTCCATCCCCAAACTCAAAATCTGTTGTCTGCCATCTGGAACACAGAAGAGCCTTATTAATACACATTTTTTTCCTGTAACAATGTTGTTTTATTAAGCCTGTGGTGTCTTAACCAAAGTTTCATATACACTTGTAACATACTTCATTATGTAATTGAGTCTTTAAATTTCTGCTTTTCTTGGTCAAGTAATACTAACTATCCATATTTAGATGTCATGGTGCTTCAAAGGCATAAAGATAAGTAGCTAATCTTAATTATAAAATGATGAACTATGAATTTTAAATATAAGATTAAGTAGCTCAAAGGAAGAGAGAAAAATTATAGGGATTCAGTAAGAGGAATTTCTTAACATTTCTATCTTTGGTCATTCTTGGATATACATTGCCTCCAATCATTTATGCAAGCAAAGTCATTCTAAAATGTGTAAACCAGACCTGTATGTAAATTAGTCACTGATCTTTCAGACTCAGCTCTAGCTTCTCCTCCTGGAAGCCCTCTGTTCTCCCTTCTACCCACAAAGCAAGTGCTAGTTTCCTCCCTCATCTGTCTGACCCAGGGGCTTTCCTAACATTAGGAAAGGGCATGTTCATCCACTATTGGCAGTGCAACAAATAAGATTTGAGCATAACTCACTGGGGAGTATTCAAAACAACTGTGCTATTTTATTTTTACATATTTTATTTATTTATTTGGGGGAGGCAGAGGGAGAGGAAGAATCTTAAGCAGTCTCCACACCCAGCACAGAGCCCGATGTGGGGGCTTGATCCCATGACCCTGAAATCATGACCTGAGCTGAAATCAAGATTTGGATGCCCAACTAAGCCACCCACCCAGACGCCCTTCAACTATGCTGTTTTAAAAAACAAAAAGCATATATGGTGAGCGCTGTGAATTGTGCAAGACTGTTGAATCACAGATCTGTACTTCTGAAACAAATAATGCAACATATGTTAAGAAAAAAGAAAAAGAAGAAGATAGCAGGAGGGGAAGAATGAAGGGGAGTAAGTCGGAGGGGGAGACGAACCATGAGAGACGATGGACTCTGAAAAACAAACTGAGGGTTTTAGAGGGGAGGAGGGTGGGGGGATGGGTTAGCCTGGTGATGGGTATTAAAGAGGGCATGTTCTGCCTGGAGCACTGGGTGTTATGCACAAACAATGAATCATGGAACCCTACATCAAAAACTAATGATGTAATGTATGGTGATTAATATAACAATAAAAAAAAATAAAAAACAAAACGCATAAATATTTTATGGTAAAAGTATTTTCACTTAAAACCAATTCCTCAAACTAATGTTAGACAGTTAATCTTGCCATAGAAATGAAGTTTGTAAAAGACATGCAAAGAAATGAAGTAAAATCTTCCAAAGCTTTCAACTCAAACCAACACTTTGCTACCTCCAAGAGCATTCCATCGGAAAACAGCACAGCCTTAGGAGCTACACATACTGGATTTTCTGTATCCCAGCTCCATTCGTCAACTGCATGGATTTGAGTAAGTCATGTAAACTTGCTGTACCTCACTTTCTGAATAACAACAGTAGTAGTAATAGCAAAAGTAGCTAACATTCAGTGAGAAGTGTTAAAGTATTTACATAACTTAGCACACACACGATAACCTATACATGGATACACGTTACAGGTAAGAAAACAAGGCGAAGAGGCTCTGTGATTTGCTCAGAAACACTTCAGTAAGCCAAGAGCCATATTCTCACTGAGACATATCTGAGCCCACAGCTGGACCTCCCTCTCTAGGGCAGCCCCACGGAACCATGGAAAGATCTGGGAAGCAGGACAGATGAGGGTTCGTATCAGTTGAGATAATACCACCTAACTTACAGGGCTATTATAAGTAACAACAACATACAACATAAATAACAAGAAAAGGTAGTTTGGATTTTGGTCTCTAACATAGCCAACTGGTTCAAAATCCTACGTTTATTCCTACCAAGTACTGGATCATTGATTCGGCATCTGGTAGTTTTAGCCTTTTCTATTTTTAATAAACTTTAATAAACTTCAATTATTTTTATTTAAAAGATTTTATTTATTTGACAGAGAGAGAGCATAAGCAGGGGGAGCAGCCGAGGGAGAGGGAGAAGCAGCCTCCCTGCTGAGCAGGGAGCCCGACACGGGGCTTGAACCCAGGACCCTGGGATCATGACCTGAGCTGAAGGCAGATGCTTAACCGACTGAGCCACCCAGGCGCCCCTAAACTTCGTTTTTAGTAACACTAAAGAATGTGTTAGGAGGTGAACATCTGTGAACATGGCACTAATTTGAGCACAGAACCACTCTGGGGCCTAAACACTCCCACCCCATGCCACCCCCCACCACAGTGATGTCATGGATCTGGAGTTTGAATCTGTCATTCCTTTTCGTTCTTTTTTAAAAATGGTTTTGCCATAAACACATATATCCTAAAAAATCTACAGTTGTTTCTTAGCTTTACAAAAATTGGTATTGGGTGCCTGAGTGGCTCACTCGGTTAAGTGTCTGCCTTTGACTCAGGTCATGATCTCAAGGTCCTGGGATGGAGCCCTGCATTGGGTTCCCTGCTCAGCGGGGTGTCTGCTTCTCCCTCTGCCTCTGCCCCTCCCTCCTACTCGTGCTGGTGCATGCGCCTGCACATGTGTGCTCTTTCTCTCAAATAAATAAAATCTTTAAAAAGAAATTGGTATCGGGGTGCCTGGGTGGCTCAGTTGGTTAAACGACTGCCTTCAGCTCAGATCATGATCCCAGAGTCCCACTTGTGTTCCCTCTAGTCAGTTAAATAAATAAAATCTTAAAAAAAAAAAAAAAAAGAAATTGGTTATCTACGACGGCTAATTTTGTGTGTCAACTTGACTGGACTAAGGGATGCCCAGATAGTGGGTAAAACATTATTTCTGGGTGTGTCTCTGAGGGCCTTTCTGGGAGATTAGCATTTGAATCAATAGAATGAGCTAAAGATCTGCCCTCATCAGTGTGGGCAGGCATCACCCAATCCTCTGCATTGCACAGGAAGAGAGATTCTCTTCTTGAGCTGGGACCTCCATCTTCTGCCTTAAGACATCAGGAATCCGGGTTCTTGGACCTTTGGACTTCAGGGCTTACACCATCAGCTCTGTGGTTCTCAGGCCTTTGGACTCAGACTGAAATTGAAAGCACTACCAGCTTTCCTGGGTCTACACTGCAAATGGCAGGTTGTGGGACTATTCTAAACCTTCATAATCACACATGCCAATTCCTCATAACAAACCTCCTTTTATATATATCCTGTTGATTCTATTTCTCTGGAGAGTCCTAATTAATACAGTCATACTGAAGAAATTCTTTACATATTTTGAGTACCAATCCTTTGTTTTTTTCACTTTTAATGGGAACTTTGATGAATGGAACTGTTTTGCAGTCAACTTTATCAGTACTTTTTTGCATCATTTCAGAAATCCTTCCCTACCTCCAAGATCTTAAAGATATGATCCTTTATCCTCCAAATACCTAACAGTCCTCTTTATATTTAAGGCCTTAATACATCAGAATTTGGTTTTTGTGTATGGTTTCTTCCACATGGATAACCAAGTATCCTCACACCATCTATAAAGAGCTTATCTTTCCCAGAGATCTGTGTTGCCACTTACCATCTATCTAGTTTCCACATCTGCAAGGGTCCTAGTCTGAGGGCTCTACTCGATTAACTAATCTAAACTTCCCTGTGCAAAGTAAATACTGTATCTAGTTCTACAGTTTTATACAGCAGGTTTTGATTACTACTGGGGTAACTGGTTTTGGCTTTTGGTTAGTCTTCCACATACATTTCAGAATCGGTATTTATAAATTCCATGAAAAATTATGTTGGAAAGTTGACTGGAACCACAGTGACACTACAGACCAACTTGAAGGAAATGGCAAATTTATAATATTGTGTTTATTAAAAAAATGGTATAAATTTTTATAACTTTCAAAAAGTTTTTATAATTTTCTCCATATAGGTCTTACAGATCTTCATATACAATGTTCTTAGCAATCTTTTAAATGTGTTGCTATTGAAAATTAATTTTCTCATCTCCCTACCTTTTTTTAATTGAAGCATAGTTGACACACGTTACACTAGTTCCAGGTGTACAACATAGTGACTCAACAACTCTATACCTTGTGCTATGTTCACCACAAGTGTAGCTCCCATTTGTCACCAGACAACACTATTACATATCATTGACTATATTCCCTATGCTGTACCTTTTATCCTGGTGACTTATTCATTCCATAACTGGAAGCCTGTATCTCCCACTCCCCTTCACCCATTTTGCCCTTTCTCCTATCCCCACCCCCCTGGCAACCAACAGTTTGTTCTCTGTATTTATGGATCTGTTTCTGCTTTTTGTGTATTCATTTGTTTTTTAGTTTCCACATATAAGTGATATCATATGGGGGTTATCTTTCTCTGACTTATTTCACTTAGTGTAATACCCTGTAGGTCCATCCATGCTGTTGCAAATCTCATTCTTTTTCATGGTCGAGTAATATTATAGAGTGTGTGTGTGTGTGTGTGTACACACCCCACAGGTTCTTTATCCATTCATCCATTGATGGGACAACTGGGTTGCTTCCAAATCTTAGCTATTATGAATAATGTTGCAATAAACATAGAGATGTACATATCTTTTCGAATTAGTGTTTTCCTTTTCTTTGGGTATACCCAGCAGTGGAATTACTGAGTCATATGGTATTTTTTCTTAATTTTCTGAAGAACCTCCATACTGTTTTCGACAGAGGCTGTACCAACTTATATTCCCCCAACAGTTCACAAAGGTTCCTTTTTCTCCACATCCTCGCCAATGCTTATTTTTTTTTACTGAAAATTAACTTTTTAAGATTATATTATTTATGTAGAAATGTATGCAGAAATGTACACTGTATAGAAATATAGAGAACTGTAGTTAACTTTTGTATATTGGTCTTATAACCAGTCACCTTGCTAAACATTTAACATTTCTAAAACTTTGTGGATTGAATTTTTCATATATATAACATCTGATAATGAAAAGCTTTGCGGGGGGGCGGGGGAGGCTTCCTTCCCAATGCTTCTATCTTTTGTTTTTCACTGTCTTACTGGACTGGGTAGACCTTAGAATAATGTTGAAAAACAGTGGTGACAGATGTTTGCCAAAGGTTTAATGTTTTATTAATTTAAGAAAGCTTCCTTTTATTCATAGTTTGCTAGGTTTTGTTTTTTAAAAATCAAGAATGTTCTTGAATCAGTTTCTCCTTTACACAGTGAATTCCTAGGAACACCTCACTTGATCATAAGAGGTTATGTTTTTATATACAGCTGGATTCAATTTGCTAATGTTTTGTTTGGGATATTTACATAAGCTTGGCCTATCATTTTCCTTTCTAACAAAGTTATTGTCTCATTATGGTTCTGAAATTATGATAGGCCTATAGAACGAGTTAGTATTCTTTATTTTTAGGAATACCTTTTTATAAGTTTGGTAAGCTCTTGCATAGGAAACTATCTGTGCTAGTGTTAAATTTTTAAGGTTATTTTAAATTACTATTTCACATTCTTTAATTCTTTAATAGTTATAAAACTATTCAATTTTTGTATTTCCTCTTGGGTCAGTTTTATTAAACTGTATTTTTCCAGGAATTTTCCCATCTCATTCTGTTTTCAAATTTATTGGTAAAAAATTGCTCAGAAAATTGTCTTTTTAATCTGGACACAATCTATAAGCATGTCTCTTTCTTCACTGGAAATATTGTTTGTGTAACCGTCCTTTTTTCTCCATAATCACTTTTGCTGGAAGCGTGCCTATTAGTCTTATCAATGAACCAACCTCTGGCTTTATTGATGCTCTTTACTATTGGTGGCGGTCATCAAGAGGATGTGACTTTGGGTTGACCCACAGGCTGGACCTGAGCAATCGGAGGTGTCTCCTTAGAACGTACCCACCATTCCCATACCAGGAGCTATTTCAAGGACATGCCTTGAGAATATAAGGTGTTGCTGCGACCATCTGGACAAAATATGTGACTGAACTCAGTTAAAGCCTCTATATAAACTTCTAAGATTCAGGAGGAGGGGTGTGTGTGTGCACGTGCGCAGATTGATCTACTCATCTTGTGGCCAACCAAGGCAAGCTTCGTATATAAGTTCCCTTGTTTATTAAACCTGCTACCTATCAATCTGGAACGGCCAGCGTCTTCCTTTGGTCATTTCCTGCACTCCCTATACCGGGGCTGGTTTTAGATTTCATCCAGGGAAATTCTGAGTTTGCAACCAATACCTACTATCTGTTCTTTATTGTTTAATATCCCAAAAGGAGTGCTGCTATTGGCATTTGCCCTGTGGGTAACCTCTTTCCTCCCTCTTATCTACTCCTCCTAGAAAGTGTCCCAATTTCCTGCAAGCTCAGCAATGTATCAAAAAGCATGTTTTACCCAGTATTCAGAATCTAGTTGTTCTGCAGTATGACAGTCACCCAGAGTATCTAGCCTGCCATATATTTTGAAATATTTTAAAAATTCTCTTCAAGTGTTTCTCAAGATTCACAAGTAACAGTTTTATCAGGTTAACCTCTTTTGTTTATTCTGTCCTAGTTTTATAACACACACACACCACTCTTTTTATTACTCTTCCCTACAGCTATTGTACTCTGATTCTACACATGATTCTCCCCTCCTTGGGAGCCCATTCCAACATCCCCAGGACAGCATTTATAATATAATCTTATTTATCAAGTGTTACTGCAAAATTAAAAGGGCAGAATACAAATAAGCCTGTATTTGATAATTTTCTGAAAGAAATCTAGTAAGCTATAGAAACAGACTGCTTGGCAAGAGTAGGTAATGTAGAAAACCAAAATCTTTATAATTTCTAAATGTGTTGAGCACAGTATAGGAACTCAGAAAATATTTGTTTAATGAATTTAGAAATCACAGAATGTCTTAAGTCTTCAATTTTATAAAAGTGTATTAAAAATTGTCAGGAGATCACTAAAATCTACTCCATTATTTTCTGATCAGAATTATACTGGGAGAGAAGAATAAGGAGAGTGAAATAATATGGTGCATTTACCCTGAAAAAATACTGCAAAATGACTACACACATACCAGAACTCTCATCTGCTTGGCACATACTGTCTAGAACCTCTTGATCACCTTCTGCAGCTATATATGCCCAAGTATCAGTTTCATCTCTTGTATTTCTCCTTTCTTTAAGTAACTGCTTGTTTTCCTTGGTTTTGTGATCTTCTGTGATTTTACAATCTAGTATTTCTTCTCTTTTCCGATTATTCTCAGGAAAATCATTTTTTTCTTCTGGAGTTAATTTAAGTAAATCAAATGCATTTCTGATTTCCTTAAATGCTGGTGAAAAAATAAAATTGAGAATAAATGAGTCACAAATTTCTGTTGTAACCAAAAGAAAATCTGGGTGTTAAGGAAACAGTTATTTTTGAAATTTTTACTAATATTTGCCTTGGTTATAAAGCATGATTCAGATTTACTATTCAAAGCCATGAAGTTATTTCAACTGGCCTTTCTATTGGCTGCTCAATATTTAGAAAGGGTCTCTAAGGTGAATGGCTGTTAATTAAGTGTTCAGAACTACTCCCAGTTTTGACAAAGGCCTACTGAAGACAGTGAATCTCAAAATAATCCTAGTCATGCCACCACTGTCCTTCTGCTAAAACAACTGCCTACAACTGTATCCTGAAGTTAACCTTGCACAAAAATGATTCCTGGTCAGTGTGCTGGCACCCTTCTGTCTCCCCCACTCACCATCAGGAATCATTTTTGTGCAAGGTTAACTTCAGATACAGCTGTAGGCAGCTATTTAGCAGTTGTAGGCAGTTCTACTTTGAATATTACCCTCAGCTATATACAGCTTTTGGGAGAAAAACTAGGTGAAAATAATCTATTTCTTAGAATCACTGCTTCATGAGAGCATGTGTTCCAAGTACTTTTGGTACAAGAACTAAACTATCCATTGGGGTTTTATTCAAATACTGTAACGGTGAATGTTTTATAAAGTACTTAATTCTAGTATTGACATGTCACAGATTCTCAATATGTTGTATCCTTCTGATCCAAAATTTATGTTCAATATTATATTTATACAAATGACCCAGAGCTAAATACACACATGTATTAACAGTAGTTTGTCTCATTCAGCATCCACTATAAACGGAGACATTTACTTTTCTACCACAACTAATTTACAGAATCTCTATAATTCTACTGTACTCCATCAAAAGCAGAAACAACAAAGTGAACAGAAGAGAAAAAAATTAATTACAGAAACAATATGAACTATTATACAATAAAGTAACTGTTTAAATAAAAGTAGCATAAAGTTCTAAATTCTCCAGTGAATGAAATTTTCTAATTTGCAAGTCAGAAAAGAGAGACTGTCTTCACAGTAAATTAAATTCTTTGTATAAAAGATGACAATGGTAAATGATAAAATGTTAGTATCCACACTCACTCTTTAATCCCTTTGGCTCTTTTCGGCCTTTTTCTTCCTTGTCCAAATCATGCCTTTTTTGGTTTTTTTCTTTGGGTTCATTTTTTTTTATCTCTTTCTCCTACAAGAGACAAATGAAAGACACAAAACAAGAAGACAGAAAGAACTGATATTATATATCTGAAAATTGGAAAACGCAGGTTCCTGGTATCAGTAGCTGCATTTTGGGTACTATGGCACATAACCACCAATTATTAAATCTTTTTTCACATCAACTGCTTCCTCAATCAAGATTATCCCTCAACCGTGATGATTTACAGGATACTAAATTCAAAACCCAACACCTCATTCTAAATATTTTTTCATTATTAAAAATAAATTCCAAAAAAATTCTCCCATAATCCTACTAACCAAACACCACTATTTTTATTTCTCCACATTCTCCCTTCTGATCTTTGGAAATTTACATCATTTTGTTGTTTAAAATTCATTTTCCTTGGGGCGCGTGGCTGGCTCAGTCATTAAGCATCTGCCTTCGGCTCAGGTCATGATCCCAGGGTCCTGGGATGGAGCCCCGTATCAGGCTCTCTGCTCAGTGGGAAGTTTGCTTCTCCCTCTCCCATGGCCCCTGCTTGTGTTCCCTCTCTCACTGTGTCTCTCTCTGTCAAATAAATAAAATACAAATCTTTAAAAAATTCATTTTCCTTTATTTATACTGCACAGATATTTTTACATGACTGAGTTCATATGTATAATTTTCTTCAGCTTAACATTCTAAAAACTTTTCTATTTTTGCTACATTGACCTCATAATTAGTATTTCAATAGAGAGATAACACCCAAAGTTGATGCAACAACATTTTCTTAATCATTTCCCTCATGGCTAGACATTTAGTTTGACTGGCATTAGTTTTAGTGAAACTACACTGCCATACATATCTTTGTATACCTAGCTTTTCCCCCCTTTAAAATGATTTCCTTAAGATAAATCTACAAAGAATGGATGAAAAAAAAGATCTTTTTATAGCCCTTGATAAATATTGCATATATGAATACTTTCATAATGTGGAAAATATTTACATTTTGAAAAACCACATAAAAATAATTTTTATAATAATGGGATAAAATCCTATTAAACATTTTTTAAGATTTAAAAGGCTTATAAATATTTGTGTATATTATTTAAGTAAAAAATAGTATATTAAGACAGAAGGGGAAAAATACCAAGTAAGGAAAAGCTAAGCTGATGAAGAAGCTTATTTTCAGCATTACTACACAGTGCTACATACCAGCTGAGTACCCCTAAAAAAAATCCTTTTGTTCACAAATTAGTCCTGAATTTTCTAGTTGTAATCTTAAAAAAAGCAATTATATCCGCTCATTCTAGTCACATATTAAGTGTAACTCCCTAACCACAGGAAAATTATTCTTATAGTTTGTTTCACTGTTTCCTCTTTGTTTTGTGAAATTTCTTGACCACTCAAAAAGAGTGCCAGCTTGACCTGAACATTTCTGTATTCTGTGAGATTCTGACTGCCCTTCAACCAATCCCCAGAGTACTTACCTCCCCACCTGAGTCAGGGGACCAGAGGCCTCTCTCTTCCACACCTGCTCTTGAACTCTTTTGTGTCTGGACAGGTACAGGTGGCAACTTATCTAACTCTGTGGTGCTTTTGCCTTTGTCCTGATTCCTTTGCTTCTTATATATAGTTTTCTTCTCTAAGAAAAGGTTCCTGTTTTCTAGTGTTTTGCTCTCTTTAAGTTCCTCAGTCTTTCTCAGTTTCTTTCTTTTTCTCTTTGCTTTGACATCTGCATCCTCATCAGCACTCAGAAAGCCATCTGGCTGTTTATCAAAAACATCTTGAACTGCATCTTGCCCTGCTTTATCTTTTACGCTTTTAGTCTTCTGTTTCTCTTCTCTGTTGTCCGAGTGTAAATCTTCATTGTCGTCTTCTTGAAAAGAGGAGTCATTAAGTATACTTGATTCAGATTCCAACTGAGATTCAACACATTTCTCTTTTTTTGTTTTTTTGTTTTCTTTGGAATCTTCTCTTAATTTATTCTTTAAATCTCTTATTTCACCCTTTTTAACTTTCTTTAATTCCTTAGTTTCTTTTGTATCCTCTTTTTTGGGCTTTTTGGATTCCTTTAATTCTTCTTTGGCTTCTGAAATTCTTTTCTTTGTCCTTAAATCAAAAACTAAACTTTCAGAGGAGCTCTCCAGGTCTGGTTTGGATTTATCTTTTAGTTTCCCAGTCTTTGCTTTTTTCTTTTTCATATCATCTGGGCTTTTCTCTTCTCTATGCCTTAATTTTTTCTTTTTCTTCTTTGGAGAAGTATCTTCTTTTGTCTCACTTTGCTGATCACTATCAGAATTTGCCTCAAATATGTCATTATTTAAGGACAGTCTCTACAAAATATAAAAAAGACTTAATAGTCATTAACATAGCAATTTAAAGGTTTTGAAAAGTAGTACTAATGAAATCTGGTAGAAATGTTTTTATTTTCAAGCAGTTTCTCAACTTCTTATAATTATTTATCTAAATTGGAAGTTGTATATTACTTATGTCTCTGATTTAGCAAATAGGTCTTGGTGATGACGGTGAGTCTCATTTTAAAAAAGCGGATAAACACAGTGACAAAAAAATGTTAGTGTCGCTGAAGGTCCCAAACTAAAGCAGAAATGAACAATAAAAGCCTTATGTATGGTGTATTTTATATGATTTGAAGTTCAAATTTTCCAAAAACACTAAGCAAATAATTTGTACAGACTTTCTTGCCTGCCAAAAAAGTAGTTACCACTCCAAATGCAAGGTTTTTAAAGACTAGATCCTAGATATCCTTAAAGGTGCCGTTGTATTTCACAGTTAGTTACACATGGAATGGGCAAGACTGCACACAAATCTTACTTCCCCAATTGATTTGATTTGTGTTATAACCTGAAATACCTCCTGTGGAAAATATATTTTTAAATGCTATCAGTAACAACAAAAAAACCAAAACCAAACCCAAACAAACAAAAAACCCACACCTTGGAAGTATTTATAATAGGGAGCCTGGGTGGCTCAGTTGGTTAAGCGTCTGGCTTTGGCTCAGGTCATGATCCCAGGGTCCTGGGATCGAGTCCCACATCGGACTCCCTGCTCAGCGGGGAGCCTGCTTCTCCCTCTGCCTCTCTCTCTCTGTCTCTTATGAATAAATAAATAAAATCTTAAAAAAAAGACCAACTTTAAAAAAAAAATTTATAATAGACACAAAAACACTATGCAAAGTATTTTCAGTTCCCATTTCCCCAAAGTCTTTTCTTCTAAGTGACATGGGGGTGGAAACGGAGGGAAGATAGGGACATTTTAAAAACGTTTTCCCGGGAGCCTGGGTGGCTCAGTTGGTTAAGCGTCTGCCTTTGGTTCAGGTCATGATCCCAGGGTCCTGGGATGAGTCCCACATCGGGCCCCCTGCTCAGTGGGTATTCTGCTTCTCCCTCTCCCTCTGATGCTCTCTCTCTCTGTACAAAATAAATAAAATCTTTAAATAATGTAATTTAAAACCCCCCCATTTTTCCTACAGTGTCTAAGAAATGATCATCACTATCATAAGATAGTGAGAGTATGGTGGAACTGGCCTAACTTTTTGAATCTCCCTGAACTGCTTTATAAAAAGAGCTATGGGGTGTCTGGTTGGGTCAGTTGGTAGAGCATGTGACTCTTGATCTTAAGGTCATAAGTTCAAGCCCCATGTTGGGTACAGAGTTTACTAAAAAAATTATATAATAAATAAATAAAAAGACAAAGCTAGTAGGATAGCAAAACAAAGCCCCCACAGACAATATCTACAACAAAATTAAATAGCATAGTATCCCAGTGAACCCCAAAATACACGTAAGGGGACAAACTACTAACAGCTATAAGACTGTTATGAATACCTACACAGGAGAAAGCAAATGGGAGAAATCACTACAAAGACTGACAGGTCAACCTGAGAAGAGTAGAAGGAAGGGGCAGAACCTGTACATGCACAGGGTGACTGCAGGTATCTGTGGACATGTGAAGGGCTGGCCCGGGCCAGGTCCTGTGAACTCTCAAAAGTAACTGCCAATGGTCTCTCTCTTCCAGGACTTCCATGACAAAGCCCCAAAATGAGGAGAAACTGCTGACATTAGATTCTAAATAAAGTAGGACAGGAAAAATAGAAACAAAGAAAAGAGAAGATTCAGATATTAGGGGGAGGGCGGCAGAAGGTGAGGCAGGGTAAAACCAAAGCCAGAAAAAAAAATCTCATTAAGTCTAAGGCCATATTTTTTAACCCTTCATAAAAATAATAAACTGCTCAGGAGCCATTAACCTAAAAAAAAAAAATTATCTTATTCTCCTCTTTTGCCGTCCAAAACATCAGAAAAAGTAATTTCATATCAATATAAACAGCAGAAAATTAGGGTAAAATATTTTACTACTTGTTATAAGAAAAAACAGACCAAGGAATAGAGTACTCTAAAACAATAAAAGCAAGCCAGAAAGATACGCCTACAAAACAGTAGAGAAAATAAACAAAAATTTTGAGGCATCACACAAAAAGACCAAGTCACTTAGAAGAGAAAGAAATTCAGATCCATCTTTAGAGAGTAGTGCTTTATGCCAGATAACAACAGAATAACACATTAAGATATTCAACAAAAGAAAATGTGAGCCAAGAATTTATATTCAGTCAAACTGGCTTTCAATATAAAGACTGCCAACAACTATTATGAAATACAAGAACTCTAGGAATATTTTTCTCATGAGCCCTTCTACTACAGAGGTGGTTCTAAAACCTTAGCATGCATCAGAATGCTGGAGGGCTCATCAAAACACAGGCATAGGGTGCCTTCGTGGCTCAGTCGGTTAAGTGTCCAACTATTGATTTTGGCTCAGGCCATGATCTCAGGATCATGGGATTGAGCCCTGTGTTGGGCTCTGTACTATCCCTCCCCCTGCTCTCTATCTCTAAAATAAAATAAAAATCTTAAAAAAAAAAAAAAACCCACAACCAAGAAACCCCAAAAACACAGGCAGCTGGTCGCTCTATCCAATGATGTGCAGCCCAGAGACTGCATTTCTAACACATTCCCAGATGAGGATAACTGATAATTCTGGCCTGGAGTCCACACTTTGAGAACCACTATACTAAAGAATGAGCTTCAGATACCCAATAATGACTGGATAGACATCAAAATAAAGACAGGTAGAAACTATTAAATAGATACCTGCTTTTAGAATTAAGACTGAATGATGACTGGGCGCCTGGGTGGCTCAGTTGGTTAAGCAACTGCCTTCGGCTCAGGTCATGATCCTGGAGTCCTGGGATCGAGTCCCACATCGGGCTCCCTGCTCAGCAGGGAGTCTGCTTCTCCCTCTGACCCTCTTCCCTCTCGTGCTCTCTGTCTCTCATTCTCTCTCAAATAAATAAAATCTTTAAAAAAAAAAAAGACTGAATGATGACTATAAGAGAGTACAGTATGTAACAGTCACTAATACTCTTGATAATAGAGCAGCTATCAAAATAATAGGGAGAGAATGGTGAGAAAATACTAAACAATACATAGTAGTCTTGCTGATTGCCTTATAGTTCTAAACTGAGAGTAAAGGGACAGTACTTCAAATAGGATATGGAGGGAAAGGGAACGCAGCAAGAAGACAGGTACTAATTAACAACCAAAAGAACCTGTTTATCAAATTGATAACATAACCACCGAAAAGAAAAAAAATCAATCCAAAGAACTTTTGAATGCTAAACATCCTCAGTGCATATGCTTACTAGGGACAAAAAGAACTGCAAATAAATTTGGAGTTTTACAATAGGATGGGTGTAGTAAATCTGAAACTAACTTCTCATTTTTGTAGGACTGAGTGAGTATATATAACATTGGTGGGAACCAGAGTTCTCACAGTAGGAAAAGGGAAACAGACTATGGCCAGGTAGAATGAGTGGAAACCCTGAGGTCATGGACTGAAATTACAGATACCCATATGAATTTATGACATATATTTTTTCCTTTAGCTCTGGCTACTTAAAGGGCCTAGAAGTAATCATACCCCAGTAGTAATAAGTACATCTTGTTTGTTTTTTTTTAAGAGTTTATTCATTTATTTGACAGAGAGAGACATAGCGAGAGAGGGAACACAAGCAGAGGGAGTGGGAGAGGGAGAAGCAGGCTTCCCGCTGAGCAGGGAGCCTGATGCGGGGCTCGATTCCAGGACCCTGGGATCATGACCTGAGCCGAAGGCAGAGCTTAACCGACTGAGCCACCCAGACGCCCCTACATCTTGGATTTTAATCCTATCCTCCTTTACAAAGAATCAGGATTCCTTGGAGAAATGGTTAATACTAGGGATGGAGTAGGAAAGTACATGGTAACACTGAACACCTTGTCAGAAGAAATGATGTGCTCAAAACAGAAAGGGAAACATCAAAAGGACACAAGAGCTGCCTTGAAGGGGCTCCTACTAGCCAAATTTGGAACGCTTTTAGCATCAACATGAATAACAACAGCAATGGATGACTGATGAATAAAACGATTCCAGGAGTGTGTACTGATACTAAAAAAAATTTCGGGGAGGGAGGAGCTGTTCTTTATAAAATACAAACAAAAAATATACAATAACAGAATTAGAAAAATCAGTATTTGTAACCACCACAGGAATAACTAATTGAGGCAAGAAGCATCAAGGTACTTTAAAATCATGGGGTGAGAGGCTGTTGGGGAACAAGAGATTCTCGGTCTCAAATATTACTTACCATTAGGTTATTTATTATCATGTTATTATTTTATTTATTTTTAAAGATTTTATTTATTCGAGAGAGAGAGCATGAGGGGGGAGGGTCAGAGGGAGAAGCAGTCTCCCCACTGAGCAGGGAGCCTGATGCAGAACTCGATCCTGGGACTCCAGAATCATGACCTGAGCCGAAGGCAGTCGCTTAACCAACTGAGCCACCCAGGCTCCTTCATGTTATTATTTTAAAAGGAAAAAGGTACCTTTAAAAAAAGAGGGAAAAAAATGGGCCTCACTTTATCATAAAATTATAATTAACACCAGCAATAAATGGGATAATTGACATATCATACATCTCTTGCCATCATGTAATTACCTATATAATACATTTGTCAGAATGTTCACACTGAATCTAATCACCAGGAAAGAAACCATCTAATTCCAACTTAGAAAAAAACCCACTATTTGTGATTTAACACTAATTATCATTCATCTAGTTACAATGTGAAGAACTTTCTATGAAACAACTGGTCTGGATTCTTTTTTTTTTTTTTTTTTAGATTTTATTTATTTATTTATCAGAGAGAGAGCACAAGCAGGGGGAGTGACAGGCAGAGGAAGAAGCAGACTCCCCACTGAACAGGGAGCCCAATGCGGGGCTTGA